GATTACACAAGCAGGAACTAGTTTGTCAAAATGGGGATTCTTCCTTGACAAGTATTTGTAGATCATAGTCATCGATGTGAAGGAGGTGAGTGAGAGGTGTTGGGGGTCTGTGCTCGGGAGGTCTTGGATGATAACCTTCTTCTTTGTTAAGGGTTAATGAAAAACCAAAAAGCAAAGGACTAAAATAATATACATATACTATAGGCCAAAATATTGTCGAAAATGTGTGACGTTGTGCCTTTAACGGTCAGTGGTGTTAAGGTTTTGTCATATTCAAATGTTATCACGACAGCTTATAAATAATCCGAGAAATATTCTCTGGCCGAAACTAGTCTGAGCCTGTCATGCAGAGATAATACGGAATCGAGTGGTCGGGCACGTTGTCCGACTGTGTCCACCATTGCAGGACACGTTGATCTGGATTCGTGTTTTACAGGTCGCCCTGACAGAGGCAATGTCCTCCCTCTGAACGTTTATGTAGGTCCTCTAAATGATCCATTTCATCCAACACACACACACACACACACACACACACACACGCACGCACGCACTCACGCAGGTGTATCAACGTCTATGCGTCTAGCCGTCTACTAGGAACAATGTCCTGACAGAGTTTTCGGGACAGACTCTTCCCATCTTTCATTGTAATGTACATATACTCATACGACCCACTTGAACAGAGACTTCATGATTTTGAACAGTCACACGTCTATAATGTAACTATATTATCCAGAGACAATGTACAAAGAACAGAGACACTTCTATAATGTAACTATATTATCCAGAGACAATGTACAAAAAACAGAGACACGTCTATAGTGTAACAATGTATTCCAGAGACAATGTACAAAGAACAGAGACACGTCTATAGTGTAACAATCTATTCCAGACACAATGTACAAAGAACAGAGACACGTCTATAATGAAGCAATGTATTCAAGAGACAATGTACAAAGAACAGAAATACTTCTATAGTGTAACAATGTATTCCAAAGACAATGTACAAAGAACAGAGATACTTCTATAATGTAACAATGTATTCAAGAGACAATGTACAAAGAACAGAGACACTTCTATAATGAAACAATGTATTTCAGAGACAATGTACAAAGAACAGAGATACTTCTATAATGTAAGAGTGTATTCAAGAGACAATGCACAAAGAACAGAGACACTTCTATAATGTAACAATGTATTCAAGAGACAATGTACAAAGAACAGAGACACTTCTATAGTGTAGCAGTGTATTCAAGAGACAATGTACAAAGAATGTACAATGACACTAATCAACTGTTCTGTGTGATTGACAAAAAGACACGTTGCTCCAAAAGTTCAAGAGCTCCATAGTAAACAGATGATTGTAATTTATAATGGTGATATTGTTTATATACATGTAAGTGTAACGAATTGGTTAAAGCCAAAACCAATTACAAGCTGTTAAAGTAAAACCATGTCATGTAAAACCAGTCATTGATGATATTAGAGGTTGGTGAAGCGGTGTACCGTGCCCGCCAGTGGGGCACCCTGACAGACACACGGCGAGTGTTCCTCAAATAATAAATTGTGCCTATGAAAAATTTACATCAAACGTAAACATAGTCTTTATGCGTCAATTAAACTTATTTAAGGTTACTGTTACACATTACACACCACACATAAAAAAATGAAGTGGTCGGTTTGTCTCGGACTGACTAGGCTCCCTGTGTATACAATATATATCAGCTCGAGTTGTGAGGTTAGTTATGGGATTCTCGACCTTGTCAGACAGTACAGTGATGATATCCTCGGCCACCAAGGTCGTACTAGTGCCCCTGTAGAATACGTGACTGGACGCGCGACCTCTCCGTTACGTACTGTGTACCCATCTAGAGTGCAACCTAGTCACTATTACTTGTATAGCTGATACAACACTGTGTCATATATAACTGGCTATATTCTGTTTAAAAACGAATATTCATTTTGAATCGAAGCTCTTTGTTTTATGTCCCATTTGGATTTGATGTATTTGAATGTTACGAGATACAAAAGTGGAATAGTTGCTATTCCCTGTCAGAGGAAACAATTCACTCCTCGGTCGTGTGATAGGAGGTGACAGTAGAGCAGGGAGCGAGGGCATAGTTTAACTGGAGCATACACACGGAAAAGGGCATCGGTAGAGTTTAACCCTTGCATACACAGTAAAAAAACCCTCGGTGCAAATTCAATACGAGGTAAGTTGTTGTCATTACCCTTGTTTTCTTTTCAATTAGTAAAATTCAAAAACGACGTATTTTGTGTATGCAAATTCAACACGAGACAATGTACAAAGAACAGAGAGTATATCTCTTTTCTATGTCACGAATGTGTGTGTATGTGTGTAGCATGCGATTGTGTGTATAGGTATGAGTTTGTGTAATGTTCGTATGTGTATGTACGTGTATGGGTTCATACATGTGTTCATATATGTGTGTGTTCATATACATGAATTTGTTCCTATGTATGTACGTGTCCACATGTGTGTATGTATGTGTTCATTATGTGTTTGTGTTCATATTTGTATATGTGTCCATATATGTGTATGTGTCCATATATGTGTGTGTGTGTTCATATTTGTGTGTATGTGTTCATATTTGTGTGTATGTGTTCATATTTGTGTATATGTGTCCATTTATGTGTGTGTGTCCATATATGGGTGTATTTGTTCATATGTGTGTATGTGTCGATATATGTGTATGTGTCCATATGTGTGTATGTGTCCATATGTGTGTGTATGTGTCCATATGTGTGTGTATGTTGTGCTCATATTGTGTGTATGTATTTGTGTTCATATATATGAATGTGTCCATTAATATGTATGTGTTATATATGAGTTTATGTGTCTATATATGTGTGTATGTGTTTTCGTTCATATGTATGTGTGTGTTCACATGTGTGTATGTTCGTCTTCATATACATGTGTTTATGTGTGTTCATATGTATGTATGTGTTCCTATACTCTCCTCAAAAAGACAAACGCATAAGCCATTCTTCGAAGTATTTATTGCAATTAGTGGAGCAAATATTACATGTGATTTCAATGGTAAAAAGGTTTAAAATTCACGCGGAAATAGACATAGAGTTCGCCAACACAACATCAGCCTTTATTGACGTGTTTCTGTTAACTTGAGTCCACAAGATGGCGTCAAAGTCAGTACTTTGTATGGCCACCATTGGCAGCAATTACTGCTCGGCACCGTCTCGGCACATACTGGATTAGTCGACGAAGTCACACTTGCGGAATTCATACCCACTCTTCCTGCAATGCGATGGCCAGTTGTGGAAGTGTATGGTGTTCTACCGGGTTTAGATCTGGTGATTGACAATACCATGGCAAGACATTGACGTTAGAATTGGCAAGGTAGCGTACTGTGACGTGGGCCGTATGTGAAGTAGTGTTGTCGTGTTGGAACAACTCCCTCTGTCGGTCCACAATCGGAAACATGTGACGTGCAAGGATTTTGTTGATGTACCGATTTGCTGTATAATTACCCTGAACCACCACTAAATCAGATCTTTGTGTGCTGGATATCTCACCCCACACCATGACACCCTCTCCACCGTATCTGTCGATCTGTTGAATGCAATTAGGGGCAAAACGTTCATTTCTCCGACGGTAAACACACTGTCTTCCATCTCGCGGGTAAAGAAGAAATCGTGATTTATCACTGAACCCGACTCGCCTCCAGTTTCCAGGGTTCCAGTTCCGGACTCTTCAGTGCTACGACACCACCGCAAGTGATTGCGCCGATGGAAGTCTCTCAAACAGGGGCGACAAGTGTCTTTCTTGGTCGAATTACCACTTCACGCAATCGATCCCTGAGAGTTTGATTGGAAATTCTTCTCAAACCAGGGATGCGTTGTGCAGTCTTTACGGCTGTGGCGAGACGATGACGCAAGTGAACTACCCGCATGTAGTGGTCCTAGGCTTGGATGGTAACTCTTGGACGGCGACTTCTCGGGTGATCTTGGGCGGACTTTGTCTGCAGGAAACGATTCCATGGGCGAGATATTGTGCTGTGATGAGCGTTAAAATGTCGGGCAACTGCAGACTGCGACTCCCCAGCTTCAAGGCGGCCTATGGCGATGTTTCGATTGGCGGCACTCAGTCGTGGCATGATGATTTCCTCTTTTCCGGGCAAAAACGAATGACAAAATTAAACACAACATTGCCTTTCCCGCTTACTGAAGCTTGCATGTGCATTTTGCCTTGCTTTTTCTTGGTGACATTTTGGCGTATATTTCTTCAAACGCTTTTAAACAAGGGAAAAAGTTAAAATTGCCGCGTTTTGGCGCTGAAGCTGTTTACAACCACACGAAGATGACGTTTTGGAAAGAAATAGCATATTTGTATCGTTTTTTCCGCAACTTCATGAGTCAAATTCACCTATGTATTTCTTTTTTTGGAGAGTGTATATGCATATGTTCACATGTGTATGCATGTTATCATATTTATGTATGTGTTCGTATATGTTTGTGTGCGCGCGCGTGTGTGTGTGTTCGTATGTGTGTATGTACAAATATGAGTGTGTATATGTCCCGAATGATTGTTCCATTCGGTGTGTATCATGTTAATTACGCAGCATCGCTTGCACGATCACACCAACCCGTCCCTGAGCCCAACAGACACCGTTCTGTCCCTGACATGTCTATTTAAGGCAGGTCACTCACCTGACTGTGTGGCCAGCCTGTCCTGCTGATGTAGAGCAACAAGAATTGGGTCTCGTGTCTCTTTTTTCAGGTAAACTGTTTACTTGGAATAACATGTTTTGGTTACGAGTGTGAACAAACTCATCTTTTCACCTACACGTGTGATTATTATTTAAGTGATAACATAGCGCATGTGATCATTGTACTGTTTTTAATTCTGGAATTATGGCAGTGCGAAGCCCATATCGGCAGACCATGCCTAGTGAATTAGTGAGTGAGTGAGTTAGGGGATGGGGTGGGGTGGTGTGGGGTGGGGATTGGGTGAGTGAGAGAAAGGAGGCAAATGAGAGAAAGGAGGCAAATGGGCGGATGTTTGGCTAAATTCGATTTGAACAGTATTTCAATGGAAACGCTATGTGACGTAGGAAACCGTACTATGATCAGGACCTGAAACGAGTTTTACGTCATCAACGATAGGAGATCCTGCCGTGATAAGGTAGACGACTCTATTTGAGTCCTTTCAAGTATATATAACAACCTGCTACTTACTGCTTATCTTATTGTGTGGGAGTAGGTCACGTGATCAAGTGCATGTCATATGCATGTTAAACTTCTCTTTGTCATCTGGCATAGAGTTGTAAATATATAAGATGTGTTGATATGATACTTACTAAGTAGGAATGGAATATATTGATAGCATACTTACTTTCAGAACAAGTTCAACATGGACCTGGAGAAGAAGGAACCTCTGCCCGAGGCTGACCTGGACACATCCGATAATGTGAGCCAGGTGTTTCTGGAGAAGGGGGACAATGTGAGCCAGGTGTTTCTGGAGAAGGGGGACAATGTGAGCCAGGTGTTTCTGGAGAAGAAGGAGGACACAGTTCCCGAAGGAGGCTGGGGCTGGGTGTGTGTCCTCGGTCGGTTCTACACCCACTTCCTGTTGCTGGGGTCAATGAGTGCATTCGGAATTATTTACATTGAACTTATTGACTACTTCCACGCGAACAGGACCGAAGCGGCGTGGGTGGGGTCTCTTGCTGGTGGACTCAGCATGTTTGTAGGTAAGTCTGAGGACCTTGGGTGACGGGTTCACATATGTCACATATGTCGCCGTGTACCTGCTGATGTATCTAGGGAGGAGTTTGAGATGGGTGGGGTCTCTTGCTGGTGGACTCAGCATGTTTGTAGGTAAGTCTGAGGACCTTGGTGGACAGGTTCACATATGTCACATATGTTGCCGTGTACCTGCTGATGTATCTATGGAGGTGTTTGAGATGGGTGGGGTCTCTTGCTGGTGGACTCAGCATGTTTGTAGGTAAGTGTGAGGACCTTGGTGAACAGGTTCACATATGTCACATATGTCGCCGTGTACCTGCTGATGTATCTATGGAGGAGTTTCAGATGGGTGGGGTCTCTTGCTGGTGGACTCAGCATGTTTGTAGGTAAGTGTGAGGACCTTGGTGGACAGGTTCACATATGTCATATATGTCGCCGTGCACCTGCTGATGTATCTAGGGAGGAGATTCAGATGGGTGGGGTCTCTTGCTGGTGGACTCAGCATGTTTGTAGGTAAGTGTGAGGACCTTGGTGGACAGGTTCACATATGTCATATATGTCGCCGTGCACCTGCTGATGTATCTAGGGAGGAGTTTGAGATGGGTGGGGTCTCTTGCTGGTGGACTCAGCATGTTCGTAGGTAAGTGTGAGGACCTTGGTGGACAGGTTCACATATGTCATATATGTCGCCGTGTACCTGCTGATGTATCTATGGAGGAGTTTCAGATGGGTGGGGTCCCTTGCTGGTGGACTCAGCATGTTTGTAGGTAAGTGTGAGGACCTTGGTGGACAGGTTCACATATGTCACATATGTCGCCGTGCACCTGCTGATGTATCTAGGGAGGAGTTTGAGATGGGTGGGGTCTCTTGCTGGTGGACTCAGCATGTTTGTAGGTAAGTCTGAGGACCTTGGGTGACGGCTTCACATATGTCACATATGTCACCACACACCTGCTGATGTATCTAGGGAGGAGCCTGTTGTTGTATGATGGATGCTGGTGACCTCCTGTTCAAGGGGCGCTATGACTGACGTAAAGCTTAACATATGTTACATTTGGGATTCCACTTTCTTAGTAAAGTACAGATTCTAGTACCTTTGTTGTGCAATTGTGTAATCACAGCTTTCGGCCGTGGGCGCCATGCCAATACACTTATCAGAGGGGTACACAAAGTTCGCAGTGTACCAGTTGTGCGACTTCCATATTTGTGGAAGTCGCGGTGGCTGAGCGGGTAGGCAGCTGACTCTGTGTGCTGGCGATTAGGCACCTGACTCTGAGGGTGTGGGTTCGAATCCCGGATGGGACTCAACCCAACAAAAGTACTAGAATCTGTGCTTTACTAAGAAAGTGTAATCCCAAATATAACCTATGTTACATTTGACCACTTTCTAAATGGCATTGTGTAAGGTTGTGACACTGAGAGCACTGCTGCCCCTAATGAAATGGGCCCCTGTATAGGAACACTGCAGACATCAACGTGAGGCTGACTATCAAAGATTCTGTCAGAGTTCAAATACACGGCCACACACATACAGAACAGAATCGATTGGAATGTTCCCCCCTGCCCCATGGGGGTCCAGGTTAGGGATCTGGCTTGCGTGTCACTGTAGTGCTATGGGGGTCCAGGTTAGGGATCTGGCTTGCGTGTCACCGTAGTGCTATGGGGGTCCAGGTTAGGGATCTGGCTTGCGTGTCACCGTAGTGCTATGTGGGTCCAGGTTAGGGATCTGGCTTGCGTGTCACCGTAGTGCTATAGCAAGTACCATTGTACATAATATCAGTCATTGGATTATCTGGACCGGAGTCCAATATTCACAGACCATGTGGTTGGAAGAGTATGGCGTTAAACAACATAAAATCAACAAACTATTACCTGGGAGTGAAATGTACTCAAGTGAAGTAGACTAACATGTAAGTTTAGTGTTGTCTCTATTCAAGGTCCTCTATCAGGGGTGATGACCGAACGCTTTGGTTGTCGCCTCACAACTATGGTGGGAGCCATTATAGCGTCCGTCGCCTTGTTCAGCAGCTGGTTTGCTAACGGTATCGTCTACCTGTGCATCACATACGGCGTTATAGCAGGTAGGTAAGACCATTGGATCACTAAGTAGGTTATCAAGAATAGTAGCACGGTACAATGATACAGCAGTGTACGTGGTTATTCTATAAAATGTATTGCAATACCAAATGTACGGAAACATGTGACTATGCTAAACATAAAATTGCATAAAATAAAAGTTATTTGAAAAGTTATAAAAATACTTCTACATAAACATGTAGCAAAGAACATGTAATTTGACGTCACGTGTCACGCGTGGCACGTGCACCTTGTGCACAATGAACTTACTCATTTCTTGCAAGTTTTTTGACACCTGAAGTTCACACACTTGATATTGAAAATTGAAGAAGGGTTGATTATTTTCTTAGTCCTGAATGTTGTGGAAAACCTAAACTGCACATACGTCATGCCACGACTTACAGAAAATCAGCGTCTCCGCGCCGTGGATATGCCGGAGACTGGGATGGCCCAAACTGAAGCGGCCAGACATTTTGGTGTCCATCGAAACACGATCTCATCTCTATGGATACGTTTTCAACATAATGGGAACACGAGAGATTTGTGTCGAACCGGCTACGAGTGACGTCACGTCAGCAAGACAACCACATTCGGCTGACCCATCTAAGGAATCGATTCCAGACTGCCAGTTCAGGACTGTACGGAACCGACTGAGGGAGCACAACATCCGGCCCCGTCGGGCTGCAATACGTCCAATTTTGCTCCAACGTCACCGACAATCACGACTTGTCTGGTACAGACAGCATCTACAGTACTGGAGACAAGATTGGGGTGGTGTTTTGATCACTGGCGAGTCGAGATTTCATCTGGACAGCACAGATTACACGGCAAGGGTGTTCGGACGGCGAGGTGAACAGTATGCTGACGGGTGCGTCAACGTTTGGTTGCAACAGCGTTACAGTATGGGGAAACATCACATCTAATGGTCGGACACAACCTGTCATTGTCAATGGCAATCTGACAGGTCTACGATACAGAAATGAGATCATTGGGCCTCATGTGCAGCCGTTCATTCAAGGACAGAGACGTAACTTCACGCTTCAGAAAGATAATTCCCGTCCATATAAGTATCGTGTTGTGATAGATTTCCTGTGACAGCAGACGTTCCGGTAGTCCCCTGGCCAGCTGTTTCTCTGGGCCTGCCCCCTATCGAGCACGCTTGGGATGGAATGGAGCGACGTTTACGTCAAGCCCAGAATCAGCCATTGACGTTAGCTGAATTGGGAAAAGCGTTGGTTTACACATGGGACAACATTCCCCAAGCATTCTTCAATCGCATAATGTCGTCGTTGTAAAGCCTGCATCAACGCCAATGGTGGACACACACGATACTGAATTTGTGAACTGACTTTTGACACAACATCTCTTCAATGTCCTGCCAACAGTTAAGCAATGATAAATTAAAACACCACACTCTCCCACAAAAAAGAACAAAAAACTGTAGTTTATTCACGGAAGCAAACGTGGCAAATTTGTCTCAGTTTGTAGTGCTGGTAGCTATGGTTGTCTGGCGTTCACAAGCACGATCATTTTCAAAACTCACAATCCTCGAGAAACCTCAAGTGACAATAACATCTGGTGTAACCTCCGCCACCTGGAATAACACCCCGGGCCCTCCTCGCTGATTGTATCAGAAGGTGAGTTGGAGGCGTTTCAGTCTTTATGGAAGGCATTCTGTACTGGAGGATCTCTCTGACGTATTCTGCGATCCATAACGTCCCAAACATGATCTATTGGTCAGAGTTGCTACCGCTTCTTGATGTGAGAAATTACCAAGGGCACGTGCACGATGTGGCCCAGCATTGTCGTCAATGTGTTTAGTTAATGGGTTTTAAAATGGGGTACCATAACCCTATCTAGCACAGTTGTCCGTCCAATCAGATTTTGTCTCATCGTCACAAAGTCAAGTTTACAGTCACATGATAGGCTACATCATCAAGGAACCCCCGCCAAATGGTACTTACAAAGTATATTGCACCTGATGCTCACCTTTGATGGTAACGTGCATTTCTAAATTCAATGTGTCCGAACGAGAAAAATAATCACCCAAACAAATGTAATTATGACATGAATATTAAAAGCTATATGGGGCTTCAAATTGTAGGTGTTGCGATACCTTTTTATGATAGCGAAGTTTTTCAGCAAACACTAATAATAAGTTCATTGTATAGCGCCCTACATCCGATCACAAAGTGGTTGTTCATGGCGCTGACATATATGCCTATTTACAACAGGAGTTCTTTTAGGTGTCATGGTGCTCCCTGAGCTTCTTGAACCAAACAATATTACAAGCCTACAGTGACTTGTAGTTCCTATTTTAAGTTATTACAAGCCTACAGTGACTTTTAGTTCCTATTTTAAGTTATTACAAGCCTACAGTGACTTGTAGTTCCTATTTTAAGTTATTACAAGCCTACAGTGACTTTTAGTTCCTATTTTAAGTTATTACAAGCCTACAGTGACTTGTAGTTCCTATTTTAAGTTATTACAAGCCTACAGTGACTTGTAGTTCCTATTTTTAGTTATTACAAGCCTACAGTGACTTGGTTCCTATTTTAAGTTATTACAAGCCTACAGTGACTTGTAGTTCCTATTTTCAGTTATTACAAGCCTACAGTGACTTGTAGTTCCTATTTTAAGTTATTACAAGCCTACAGTGACTTGTAGTTCCTATTTTCAGTTATTACAAGCCTACAGTGACTTGTAGTTCCTATTTTCAGTTATTACAAGCCTACAGTGACTTTTAGTTCCTATTTTCAGTTATTACAAGCCTACAGTGACTTGTAGTTCCTATTTTAAGTTATTCAGGAACATGTAGAACGTAATGTCTGAAGCAATTTATGCATGTGTTTGTGACCAAAGTATTTAAATACTCAAGTTACATAATTAATTGCTTAAGGTTCTCCTATATTCCATTACTTATGTCGGTATATTAATAAGCTCTTCTGGTTAGGTAACCTTTACAAACATAGTACATATTAATACCTCCTGTCTCGTTGCACGCAAAATAAAACTGCTCCGAGCGTATAAGTTACATCATCATAGAAGGACAGTTATATAAGAGGAGAACGGGTGAACATAATCTGGGGCGCTAAGGTACAGGCGAGTATTGTTCTCAACAGTGAAGAACGAGGAGACACATGTTTACCCTCTTGAACGTCCAGTCATTTCCTGGTTGTGCAGGAAAAATAGGACATTGATCAACACTTGAGGACAGGGAGCATTAGATGAAAAAAAATAGACTAAATTTTAGAATAAAATATGAAAATTAGAATTAAAATAAAAAGGTCACTTTTCACTGTGAAATTCGCGCTAAAGCAAAAACGAAAATCCTTAACTTACAATCGGTTTATGTCTGAAGGACAATGAAAGACAATAAAATACGTCTAAGAATTCTTAACACACGAATGAAGGAACCGATAGGGAAAGCTGATTGTTTGAAAATAATATTAGCAATGTTTATGTTAGAATGAACCAAATTCACAACCAAGAGCAACGTTAGAGCGCTCTTTGACCACCGCACGATTGTGACACTCACCAATATGACAATAGCCATTTGATCTCCTCTTATCAACACCCATAACCAGGAATCCCCTAAAGGGACCTATTAGAACCCCGATTCCCAAAAAGGAACCCGTTTGAACTTCGAATTCCAACAAGGAATCCATACGAACCCGGAATTCAAAACGGGACCCATTCCAACACAGAAACCCACCATGGAACCCATTCGAACACATAGTCCCACCTTAGGACCCATTCGAACACAGAATCACAAAAGGGGCCTATTCGAACCCCCATTCCCAAAAAGGAACTTGTCCGAAAGCAGAATTCCAACAAGGAATCAGTACGAACCCGGAATTCAATAGGGGACCCATTCGAACACAGAAACCCACCATGGAACCCATTCGAACACAGAAACCCACCATGGAACCCATTCGAACACATAACCCAACCATTGAACCCATTCGAACACAGAAACCCACCATGGAACCCATTTGAACACAGAAACCCACCATGGAACCCATTCGAACACAGAAACCCACCATGGAACCCATTCGAACACAGAAACCCACCATGGAACCCATTCGAACGCAGAAACCCACCTTAGGACCCATTCGAACACAGAAACCCACCTTAGGACCCATTCGAACACAGAAACCCACCTTAGGACCCATTCGAACACGGAAACCCAATTTAGGACCCATTCGAACACAGAAACCCACCTTAGGACCCTTTCGAACACAGAAACCCACCATGGAACCCATTCGAACACAGAAACCCACCTTAGGACCCATTCGAACACAGAAACCCACCTTAGGACCCATTCGAACACAAAAACAAACCATGGAACCCATTCGAACACAGAAACCCACCTTAGGACCCATTCGAACACAGAAACCCACCTTAGGACCCATTCGAACACAGAAACCCACCTTAGGACCCATTCGAACACAGAAACCCACCATGGAACCCATTCGAACACAGAACCCTAAAAAGAAAACTGTGCGAATTCCAACAAGGAGCCCATTCATTCCCACCACGGCATCGGATACCATAACACCTCAGCATTGTACCATCAGATCAGATGATCTTCACTTCATATTGAGTTCAGATACATGAATCGTCAAAGTAGATGAAAAACGAAACCATTCAAGGATGAACTGTTGTTTATTTCCAGGTAGTGGACTCGGATTAATGTTTATCCCATCGGCAGTGATTATCTTTCAATACTTTGAGAAGAAGCGGGGTTTCGCCAGCGCTATTGGATCGACTGGGGGAGGTATAGGCGCCATGGTTCTCCCCCTGGTGTACACGGAGCTGATCGCGGCGTTCGGCTGGAGGGGCACGATGTGGATCATCTCCGGACTGACGCTGAACGCCGCAGTATGTGGAGCCGTGTTTAGACCTCCAGACTATCTAAAACAGCGCAAGGTCACCCGTGAAGGTCAGTTACTATTACTTCGTTTGCTCGTCTAATATCCAGTGGTAAATTATATAATAGCAAGGTCCGCTCCACAAAGCGATTTTAGCAGAACGACTATCGATGGCTATATAACAATAATAAAGTAGCATTACGATTTTAGCAGAACGACTATCGATGGCTATAATACAATAATAAAGTAGCATTACGATCCCTTCTTGGACCAGGCCCACTTCTTCAATTTTGCTCTGAAATCCAGAAAATCCACATGGTGAATGTCCAAAACATTGCGGTAACGTGAGTTGAATGTGTTCGTATGTAGGTTAGATTTTTTCATAACGCCACACGGATCAATATTTCAACAATATCATGACGGGGAAACCAGAAATGGGCTTCACACATTTCACCCATTTTGGGAATGGGACACGGGTCTTCAGCGTTATGAGCTCACGTTTTAATCACTGGGCTACCCCACCGCCCCTGACAATTCCAGAGTGAGTGAGTATGGTTCTACGACGCTTTTAGCAATATTCCAACAATATCACGGCGGGGGACACCAGAAATGGGCTTCACACATTATTCCCATGTGGGGAATCGAACCGGGTCTTTGGCGTGAAGAGCCAACGCTTTAACCACTAGGCTACCCCTCCGCAACCAGGCTACCCCTCCAGAGACTGATATTGGGAACAGGCAGGACACGGAACCATTTTGTCGCCCTTCACGGGAATCCTTACAATGACTGATTAAGGCCATATATCTGACACTCATCAATTCCCTTATAATGCGATCATGTTTTAAAGAGTACATTGGGACTATATCCCGTGTATATTGTATCACCCGTATCACCCGTCAAAACACGTGTTGAGGCAGTTCAACTGTTCATGCCTGGTCATGTGACTGACGGGTACTGCCTTGCCGTCTCAGGTGTCGCAGTTAGCTTGCTTTATCCACTCACAGCATATGATGACATTTGGTTCTGCTGGGGGAAAGGAACTTTATATCTAAATGAATATCATCCTCGATAATCTCCAGGGTATAGGTTACGATCACTCTCCACTATACCTTGGATGCGTCCACGGCTTGGCCCGATGATTATATTACCTCCCTTTGCTGGCTCTGCATTCTCATAGCAGCCAATCAGCTAAGCCGCCGTCACACCCGAGCTTGCCAGTGTCAACAAAGATAGCGGTCGCAGTCGCAAAGGTTTGTTCGCAGTGCCACTCAGATTTTTGAGCAAATAATACAGACAAATTGACAGATCTAAAACTTTCAAAAAATATATAAAAGAACTCCTTCTACCTCTTTCAGAGTAACTCTGCATCAGTTGTGTTGCCAAGTTTAAACGGTTAGATAATTTAAGAAGCGAAAGTGAGTTGTGATTGGTTCGCTCAACTTCCCAGCGTAGACACCTGATTGGATAAAAAGCCAGCCAAGGAAGGTAATAAAATCATCGGGCCAAGCCATGGATGCATCCGGGGTATAGTGGAGAGTGATCGTAACGTATACCCTGGAGATTATCGAGGATGAATGGATATATCTTTGATATTACATTGCATTTGCTCCGACCTAACTAACGGCAACATCGTCGCAGGGCTGTATCCCGGGCTGGTTAATAGCGTGTTTTGTGGGATATTGTCTCTTCAAATACAGAAGTCCATCAGTGGGTCCACAACACTTTATTCGGCACCTAAGTATGTAATTACATGATAGTGCAGCAACGGCCAGGCAGCATCACAGAGGTGATCGTCAGCCCACCTCCCTAGCCGCTGTCCGAGGGTCAAGCCCCGTTACATTAACAATTCATTGTCTATATACTACTGACTGTCAGGCTGCCCTGTATCGTATTACGATACATGTATGGTCAACCTGCAGTATCCAGCATGCACCTCATCCACAATGTTAAACTTCCGTGGCCAACCGGCCATACTCTAAAGTTAATTAGGGTTAATTACACGCAGGCAGCTGACCTGTACATGGCTGTGCTGATGGTCATGATAATAAGCTGCTGATATTTCATGTATATTGTCAGCACTGTGATTTAGATTTAGATAACACAACTTTAACTTAACTCAGAAAATATACAAACATGTCTATATTTCCCGATAAAACCCATACCCCATCAAAGTGCCTACGACAGCTGCTTCATAAGATTATGGATGTCCCGGGTTTGATTGGCCGAATAATAAAAAAGGTGTACGGCAAACCCCGTGATATTTGAAGGCATATCGAGAGATCCATTTTACCCAGTGTCTTCTATTTCAGTGGAAGATGTCAACAAGAACATCACCCGGACACGCGCTCTTCAAGATTTCTTTTGTGTCTTCAAGGACATCCGGTTCTCATTCTTTGCCCTTGGAACAATGTTCTGCTACTTCGGGTATGGTGTTCCTATCGTGCACATGCCCGACCTGGCGCTCCAGAGCGGAGTTAATAAAGACGAAGTGGCGTACCTTCTGTCTATCATGGGCATTGTGGGGGTTGTACTGAGAATACCAGTCGCCTGGGTGAGTGACTTCCCCTGGGTGAGCAGGACCCTCATCCTGGGTATTGCCTTGCTGCTGTGTGGGGTCGGGACGGTGTTGTGTCCCTTCCTCACTTCCTTCCCGGCCTTCGCCATGTACTCTGCTGTACAAGGAGGCTGCATGGGTGAGTATGCGAACTCTGGTAGCAGTTTACTGTCGGCAAGAGGATGCGCACTCCCAATGATTTCACTGAAACAAACACAAACATGAAAAGATTATTTGATAGTGATATAGTTCATACAGGCATTCTAACTACATTCAGCACCTAATGTAAGCAGTGTCAAGGCGCAGCTGTCTGCTTTGTAACGAGTTGATATAGAAAGTTTCGGTCATAGAACATTTTGCTGCCGATTGTCTTCTGACCTTCAGTTTATAACGGACTAGAAGCTCTGTATTCGGATTAATGGTCTTGTATGATTGTTTGTGGATGACTGTACGGAGTGGGGTACAGCGGAGACCATGCTCCCCCTGGTGTAGGCACAGTGTACACATTGGCCGTGAACCTCCGCAAGCAGTTGTCCCATGAGAACACGTGGCAGAATGAGGTGGAAAAGGTGAAAGTGTATCCTCAATATCCTTTAGTATCCTTTAATGTACGATATCCCCACTCCGACTTCAATCCACGATTCGCACGTCCATCAAATTGTGTTGTGCACATCCAGGTATCTGGGGGGCATTTCTCGGCGTCATCGTGGCCGACCTTGTTGGCCTGAAGTACACCAACAGGGGCATTGGTTTCCTCATCTTCGCTGGAGGGGTAGCGACCATCATCTCGTCACCACTGGCAGGTCAGTACGACATACATTGTCATCTCCGTGTTAGTTGTACGTAGAATAGTATTTAGCCAACAGAAAACAGCAGTTTCTGATGTCCACAATTCTGTATTGTTTGAAACATAACAGTGTGACAGTGATTGACGGGATGTTGAAGAAACAGGCGATGCTGATACAGTGAATGTTCCAAACGAACCAACGAACCAGAAACTTAAAGGAGAATACGAACGGAAACAAAACTTTTGATATATTGTTAAGGATATTCTAAAAGTCACATTTGTAAAATAGCAATAAAAACACAAAAACGTACTCGTATTTCCGCCTATTACGGAAACACCCGACAGTTAATGAGCAGGGGGGTATCACGTGACATGACGTCATAAGTGCCTGTTGCTGATGGCTTCCTCTTTGATTTTACCTCACAACTTTTAAACAGTGTCCGTGGATTCTGAAGCAGTAAAAGATGTTCCTGATGTCATTTCTGAAATGGATGTTAGACCGTATCAATACGATCCGATTTTACATCTTGCAAGACAATCTTCCACTGAAGATGACGAAGAAGAATCAAGCGAAACGGAGGCACCGCTTGAGGTCAAAAATAATTTTAAAAATAGACCATATCAATTAACAAGATTACTATTTGTCAGCAAAATGTCATACAGTTCCAGCCAGCCAACTCACCCCTATAAATATATGACCAGTCACTAAGAATTATTTTTAAAAAAATGTGATTACAGTTCATTTTGTGTCAAATGGGTGACTGTAGGGTGTCTGGGATTCAAAAACAAAATAATTATGCTTCAGACAAGGAAAATAAAAATTATCTGCTTCAAAAATTACACTGGAATTATTTTGTTGAAAACAAGTTACGATCCTTGTTCTCATTAATAACGTATCAAGCCTCGATAAAAGAGCCCAGCCTGGTCGAGCAGAGATAATATTCGCGACGCAGATAAGTTATTCCCCGAAAACTGGTGGATTATAAAATACTAGTCAGGACAACGTATATTTCCCCATTGTTTGGTTATGGAAATAGTTATGGTACTCGGTCATAGCCTTAGAATGACACCCTGTCAGCCAATGAGAATACAGAACAACTTTCACGGCACACACTACTGACAAATAGCGAGTCTGATGCCGACGTGCGTAATTGGACAAAATGGAAAACAATGAAAGCAACAAGTATTTCATGATTTGCCGTTGTATTCGGTAATGTTTCGAGTTGACTGCATCATTTAGGGCTCCAAATCGAAAAGAACGTTTAAGCGAAACATTTTCAAGCTCATGTGAAATCTCTTACTGATTTTGATAATATATATCTCATGTGTACCAGTCGAACTGCCCCAGCTACAAAATGCCCCAGCAAATTTGGTCATTCATTCTAATTTGTTCAAATTTATTTATAATGATTGAATATATGCGGTAAATGCATAGTTTTTCTCAACTTATTATGATATTATGTTCTTCATATAAAGGTTATTAGAAAACTCATAACTATGTATATACTTATATATGAAGAACATAATATCAAAGTTGACAAAACTATGCATTTATGGCCTATATTTATTCATTATAAATATATTGGGGCATTTTGACTACCCCACTGGGACAATTTGACCAAATTTGCTGGGTCATTTTGTAGCGGGGGCAATTCGACTGGACAACTGGACTTGATTTATGTTAAAAATACCACTGACAGTAAGTTGTTACAGGGAATGATGGAGTATAATTAATGAATATCGTGGGTACTTTTTCCTTCTTCAGCCTAGCTTGGGGATGTCCATACCCCATGCGTGCATGTCTCTTTCATATGCGTCCGACTCGGAATGATCGGCGCATTTCTCCTGCCGAAATCTGTCATTTCACTTGGAAAAAGGAAATGGTGGTTCTTTCCCATGTTCGATGATGCCGTGCATCCCCAGGCAACGCAATACACCATCGTACGATTTAAAACAACAACAGAAACAACACGATTTGTACTACTGTAGCGCGTGGTCTTTGGCAATATGGCGGACTCCAGTACATTTGACGTCACGAGCGGAAAGGTCACGTGGGTTCCAGCGAAATATGCATAATGGCAGAAGCTGAGATTTACAGAAACTGTTTTCGCGATTAAAACATAATTATACATAATTTTTAATTGAAAATTTAGGAATATGCTTCTGATGACTTTATCTTTCACCCAGCAAATTATTGCAATTCTCTCGTATTCTCCTTTAAACCAATCGGACTTCAATCGGTGGCCGTCACCGGAGTCATCACGATGTTTCAACATTTGGAAAAAATTGTTTTATTATGTTCAACTAAATGTGCATATTTCATTTAATGCTGTATGTTATTCAGTTATATGTGCATATTTCATGTAACTGATTGATGCAAGGATGACATGTATCATGATGGTAGACGCATGTTCTGTAGACATAATGACAACATTAATGACAAGACGCTTACGTCCACGAGGGGGCTCTCCGTGCAGTACCTGACGTGGCTGTCATGACGTCCCTGTACCTCTTTGGGACAGACTGAATATGTCTATCGAGTTTAGATATATCAACAGAGAAATATATGCTCGACGCAGCTGTTATTGAGTATTAGTTACTAACATCATCCCCCCAAAAAACGAAAATAATAAGTAGATGAAGTAGACCCTCACGTCCGGCAGGCCTGTGTGACATTGACATCTGTGGGAACAGAGCTGTACCACGTTCAGAAGGCAGCATGCTTATGACGACTAAACTCATCACGACTAGTTTGTTTAACACCGCACTCATCTGTGTGACATTGACATCTGTGGGGACAGAGCTGTACCACGTTCAGAAGGCAGCATGCTTATGACGACTAAACTCATCACGACTAGTTTGTTTAACACCGCACTCATCTGTGTGACATTGACATCTGTGGGGACAGAGCTGTACCACGTTCAGAAGGCAGCATGCTTATGACGACTAAACTCATCACGACTAGTTTGTTTAACACCGCACTCATCTGTGTGACATTGACATCTGTGGGGACAGAGCTGTACCACGTTCAGAAGGCAGCATGCTTATGACGACTAAACTCATCACGACTAGTTTGTTTAACACCGCACTCATCTGTGTGACATTGACATCTGTGGGGACAGAGCTGTACCACGTTCAGAAGGCAGCATGCTTATGACGACTAAACTCATCACGACTAGTTTGTTTAACACCGCACTCATCTGTGTGACTGCAATCTGTAAACCCTGGGCCAGATAGCCCAGTTATTGACTTCATGAGTACCGATCTACGCAATAGGGACACGATAACATGCATCAACCAAGTCAGCGAACCAGATCACCCGATCCCGTTAGTCGCCTCTTGCCACCCAACACTGGTTGCTAATATCGTCGCGTGGTGTCGCTGTATCATTGTTCCACACCCTGCTGGGGCGGTGGGGTAGCCTAGTGGGTAAAGCGTCACGCCGAAGACCCGTGTTCGATTCCCCACATGGGTACAATGTGTGAAGCCCAATTCTGGTGTCCCCCGCCGTTATTGCTGGGATATTTCTAAAAGTGGCGTGAAACCATACTCACTCACTCACTCCAAACCCAGCTGGTATAGTAATTCTAACCTGGAAGCCGTGAAGATCCGGGTTAGAATGTGCCTTCAGTAACCCATGCTTGTCGTAAGTGGCGACTAACGGGATCGGGTGGTCAGGCTCGCTGACTTGGTTGACATATGTCATTGGTTCCCAATTGCGCAGATCGATGCTCATGCTGTTGATCACTGTATTGCATGGTCCAGACTCGATTATTTACAGACCGCCGCCATATAGCTGGAGTGCGGCGTAAAACTAAACTCACTCACTCACTAATTCATCGTTTCAGGTTGGATGTATGACGTCACGGAAAATTACAAGGCGTCTTTTTTCTTCGCTGGGGTCGTGTACATAGCGTCGGGAGGGTGTACCCTGGTTGTGTTTTTTATAGATTATCATAATAATAGGAAGGCGTCTCACAAAAACAACTGTACCTGAAAATGTATTCGTACCCTGTGATCTCCAGTAGCTGTGAATATCGACACATATTTCTATTCTGAGATGATACCAACATGATCATGTCAGTAATCTGTATGGATTGTATTAAACGTGGACATGGGTAGGCTTCCCCGCTACATCTGATCCAGCTTTAATATCCGTGGAAGGTAATTTGTGTCCTCAGTTTAAATGGATACAGAAGATAATTTCCTGTATAACGCTTAATCTCCCTCAGAAAACATGACCGTATCATCGGGTGAATGTTATGGGTAATTCAAGTTATCATGTATATCATGTATGACTTACAATGTTATTGTTATCTGCGGTGCTGATAACTACACTTAATACCGTCATCACGTGACATCAGTGTACCATGTCCGTGTTTGTACCCTCTGACGTCACTCACAGATCTGCAAAAGTTGGAAGCGCTCGTAAAGTAATAAAAACTTGGAACATTCAGTGGAACTCCTGGATTTCTTACACAGACGTGTTATGGTCTTGTTTTACTTTCTGCATGATGAATTTTCAGACACATTTTTGTGTGAACAGTATTTTTTTTGTCAAATAGTCATTTCAGAAGAGAAATCAGATGATAATTAATTGGCCCGTTGGGTCGCCACCACAGTACCGGATTAAAACTAAGACCACACCGCCAGCAATCCAAACATGATATTCATAATGGTACTGAGACTCGAATCCTGACCGTATAAAGGGACACAACTCTACAAAACACAGAAGAAGATGTCACACTGCCCTACCCGAGTTCCACCCCATCAGCCACAGGCTTACGCTATCTCCAGTACAATATAACATGTAAAGCTCATCGGTAGGCTTGCATTAGACCCTTGATTTCAGAACAGTACGTTTGTTTATATACACGAGTAAGGGGCGTGATGGATAAATTAAACTTGTGTTAGCGTTGTCATTACTGCACCAGTGGAGTGAGTGAGTGAGTGAGTATGGCGAGCGGACGCTTTAACCATTAGGCTACCCTACCGCCCCCACTACGCCAGTGGAGTGAGTGAGTGAGTATGGCGAGAGGACGCTTTAACCATTAGGCTACCCTACCGCCCCCACTACGCTAGTGGAGTGAGTGAGTATGGCGAGCGGACGCTTTAACCATTAGGCTACCCTACCGCCCCCACTACGCCAGTGGAGTGAGTGAGTGAGTATGGCGAGAGGACGCTTTAACCATTAGGATACCCCACCGCCCCCACTGCGCCAGTGGAGTGAGTGAGTGAGTATGGCGAGCGGACGCTTTAACCATTAGGCTACCCTACCGCCCCCACTACGCCAGTGGAGTGAGTGAGTGAGTATGGCGAGCGGACGCTTTAACCATTAGGCTACCCTACCGCCCCCACTACGCCAGTGGAGTGAGTGAGTGAGTATGGCGAGCGGACGCTTTAACCATTAGGCTACCCCACCGCCCCCACTACGCCAGTGGAGTGAGTGAGTATGGCGAGCGGACGCTTTAACCATTAGGCTACCCTACCGCCCCCACTACGCCAGTGGAGTGAGTGAGTGAGTATGGCGAGCGGACGCTTTAACCATTAGGCTACCCTACCGCCCCCACTACGCCAGTGGAGTGAGTGAGTATGGCGAGCGGACGCTTTAACCATTAGGCTACCCACCGCCCCACTACGCCAGTGGAGTGAGTGAATATGGCGAGAGGACGCTTTAACCATTAGGCTACCCTACCGCCCCCACTACGCCAGTGGGTGAGTGAGAGTGAGTATGGCGAGCGGACGCTTTAACCATTAGGCTACCCCACCGCCCCACTACGCCAGTGGGTGAGTGAGTATGGCGAGCGGACGCTTTAACCATTAGGCTACCCTACCGCCCCCACTACGCCAGTGGGTGAGTGAGTATGGCGAGCGGACGCTTTAACCATTAGGCTACCCTACCGCCCCCACTACGCCAGTGGAGTGAGTGAGTGAGTATGGCGAGCGGACGCTTTAACCATTAGGCTACCCTACCGCCCCACTACGCCAGTGGAGTGAGTGAGTATGGCGAGCGGACGCTTTAACCATTAGGCTACCCTACCGCCCCCACTGCGCCAGTGGGTGAGTGAGTGAGTATGGCGAGCGGACGTTTTAACCATTAGGCTACCCTACCGCCCCCACTACGCCAGTGGAGTGAGTGAGTGAGTATGGCGAGCGGACGCTTTAACCATTAGGCTACCCTACCGCCCCCACTACGCCAGTGGAGTGAGTGAGTGAGTATGGCGAGCGGACGCTTTAACCATTAGGCTACCCTACCGCCCCCACTACGCCAGTGGAGTGAGTGAGTGAGTATGGCGAGCGGACGCTTTAACCATTAGGCTACCCCACCGCCCCCACTGCGCCAGTGGGGAGTGAGTGAGTGAGTATGGCGAGCGGACGCTTTAACCATTAGGCTACCCCACCGCCCCCACTGCGCCAGTGGAGTGAGTGAGTGAGTATGGCGAGCGGACGCTTTAACCATTAGGCTACCCCACCGCCCCCACTACGCCAGTGGGTGAGTGAGTGAGTATGGCGAGCGGACGCTTTAACCATTAGGCTACCCTACCCCCCTCGCCAGTGGCCCCCACGCTTTAACCATTAGGCTACCCCACCGCCCCCACTACGCCAGTGGAGTGAGTGAGTATGGCGAGCGGACGCTTTAACCATTAGGCTACCCTACCGCCCCCACTACGCCAGTGGAGTGAGTGAGTGAGTATGGCGAGCGGACGCTTTAACCATTAGGCTACCCTACCGCCCCCACTACGCCAGTGGAGTGAGTGAGTATGGCGAGCGGACGCTTTAACCATTAGGCTACCCTACCGCCCCAACTACGCCAGTGGAGTGAGTGAGTGAGTATGGCGAGCGGACGCTTTAACCATTAGGCTACCCCACCGCCCCCACTACGCCAGTGGAGTGAGTGAGTATGGCGAGCGGACGCTTTAACCATTAGGCTACCCTACCGCCCCAACTACGCCAGTGGAGTGAGTGAGTGAGTATGGCGAGCGGACGCTTTAACCATTAGGCTACCCCACCGCCCCCACTGCGCCAGTGGAGTGAGTGAGTGAGTATGGCGAGCGGACGCTTTAACCATTAGGCTACCCTACCGCCCCCACTACGCCAGTGGAGGAGTGAGTGAGTATGGCGAGCGGACGCTTTAACCATTAGGCTACCCTACCGCCCCCACTGCGCCAGTGGAGTGAGTGAGTGAGTATGGCGAGCGGACGCTTTAACCATTAGGCTACCCTACCGCCCCCACTACGCCAGTGGAGTGAGTGAGTGAGTATGGCGAGCGGACGCTTTAACCATTAGGCTACCCTACCGCCCCCACTACGCCAGTGGAGTGAGTGAGTATGGCGAGCGGACGCTTTAACCATTAGGCTACCCTACCGCCCCCACTACGCCAGTGGAGTGAGTGAGTGAGTATGGCGAGCGGACGCTTTAACCATTAGGCTACCCCACCGCCCCACTGCGCCAGTGGAGTGAGTGAGTGAGTATGGCGAGCGGACGCTTTAACCATTAGGCTACCCCACCGCCCCCACTGCGCCAGTGGAGTGAGTGAGTGAGTATGGCGAGCGGACGCTTTAACCATTAGGCTACCCCACCGCCCCCACTACGCCAGTGGAGTGAGTGAGTGAGTATGGCGAGCGGACGCTTTAACCATTAGGCTACCCTACCGCCCCCACTACGCCAGTGGAGTGAGTGAGTGAGTATGGCGAGCGGACGCTTTAACCATTAGGCTACCCCACCGCCCCCACTACGCCAGTGGAGTGAGTGAGTATGGCGAGCGGACGCTTTAACCATTAGGCTACCCTACCGCCCCCACTACGCCAGTGGAGTGAGTGAGTGAGTATGGCGAGCGGACGCTTTAACCATTAGGCTACCCTACCGCCCCCACTACGCCAGTGGGTGAGTGAGTATGGCGAGCGGACGCTTTAACCATTAGGCTACCCTACCGCCCCAACTACGCCAGTGGGTGAGTGAGTGAGTATGGCGAGCGGACGCTTTAACCATTAGGCTACCCCACCGCCCCCACTACGCCAGTGGGTGAGTGAGTATGGCGAGCGGACGCTTTAACCATTAGGCTACCCTACCGCCCCAACTACGCCAGTGGGAGTGAGTGAGTGAGTATGGCGAGCGGACGTTTTAACCATTAGGCTACCCTACCGCCCCCACTACGTCAGTGGAGTGAGTGAGTGAGTATGGCGAGCGGACGCTTTAACCATTAGGCTACCCCACCGCCCCCACTGCGCCAGTGGAGTGAGTGAGTGAGTATGGCGAGCGGACGCTTTAACCATTAGGCTACCCCACCGCCCCCACTGCGCCAGTGGAGTGAGTGAGTGAGTATGGCGAGCGGACGCTTTAACCATTAGGCTACCCTACCGCCCCCACTACGCCAGTGGAGTGAGTGAGTGAGTATGGCGAGCGGACGCTTTAACCATTAGGCTACCCCTACCGCCCCCACTACGCCAGTGAGTGAGTGAGTATGGCGAGCGGACGCTTTAACCATTAGGCTACCCTACCGCCCCACTACGCAAGTGGGGTGAGTGAGTGAGTATGGCGAGCGGACGCTTTAACCATTAGGCTACCCTACCGCCCCACTGCGCTAGTGGAGTGAGTGAGTGAGTATGGCGAGCGGACGCTTTAACCATTAGGCTACCCCACCGCCCCCACTACGCCAGTGGAGTGAGTGAGTATGGCGAGCGGACGCTTTAACCATTAGGCTACCCTACCGCCCCCACTACGCCAGTGGAGTGAGTGAGTGAGTATGGCGAGCGGACGCTTTAACCATTAGGCTACCCTACCGCCCCCACTGCGCTAGTGGAGTGAGTGAGTGAGTATGGCGAGCGGACGCTTTAACCATTAGGCTACCCCACCGCCCCCACTACGCCAGTGGAGTGAGTGAGTGAGTATGGCGAGCGGACGCTTTAACCATTAGGCTACCCTACCGCCCCAACTACGCCAGTGGAGTGAGTGAGTGAGTATGGCGAGCGGACGCTTTAACCATTAGGCTACCCAACCGCCCCCACTACGCCAGTGGGGATGGCGCTGTGCTGGCCATTGTGATGTCATCGGTGACGTTGACGCCACAATCTTATGACATCACATCCCATTCCCGATAACAGTCAGCTGAACTCCACAAAACTGTCAGGAAGATTATGAATGCTAAACAAAATGTTCACGTTTGTGTATTTATTATAAATATAGCTACACTCTCCAAGCCTCGCAATTTTAAATTTTAATCGATTAGCGTTCGTATATTTTATATCAAAAGACACACCGGTGAGATATCTCTATTTCCTCTGTAAATAAATAAGTGAAAACTCCGTAAGATCTCATAGTCTGAACATGAGATCCAGTGTATTGTCTTCTGCCATCCAGCGACCTCAATAACTAACAAATCTGTGTAAGTATCTACGACTGTGACAGTGGATGCATCTCGACTGGCGGGTTACGTGCGACCTCCTTCCCTGCCGCCAGATGGCGCACCACGACCACCACCACCGTGACGACACAGCCGAGAAGGTACAAGACTCCCGACATGTAGAAAGGTAAGATGTAATCACCGGTGATATCATACAGCCAGCCTGAAAAAATAAATAAAAATAATTAGAAAAAAGTGACAAGATTACTTTCGCTGACCATAACACATCTCATGTACCATGAACACGTTTTTTGGAATCAGTGTGAAGTCATGGCGATATCAAACGTCTTTCAGAAGAATTACTCATTGTGGATACATCCTTCTGATGTAAAATAGCTGCTTCATGTGCAGATACGTAGATTTGTCAGCATTGTTCCAAAACGAGAAACTGAAACATATACTGAAAGCCATTATAAACGCAATTGGTATTTGTTGTCCTGAAACTTACAAAAGTTCTATTGAAGATTTTTTCCTGCGATACAGAGGATGTAGAGATAAAAGGCTGTTATTCTGGCCCATTTCGAGTTCGAGTCCCGGAGCGTTCCTCTCTCATCATCTTGATACTTAAAACTGAACCTTTGACATTTCTCGTAAACACAACCACATTCATGAAACACGTTGTGCACATGCATTACCTGCACCCAGGCCCTGTAAAAGCACAAGGAATTGTGGAACTCAATGACTTTGAGAAAATGCCACACTTGACACAAAACGAAAGGAATCAGGTTATCGGTATGGTCAGCCAAGGTGCTTCAGATGTGATGATTGCCAGGCACTTTAATGTAATGTTTAATGTAAGTCGACTCAGACAACGTTTTCGGACTATCAGAAGTGCTGCTGATCGTCTGCGACCTGGTGCACCACCTGTGATAACAGCTCGACAAAACCGCAATATCCGAGTTTCACACTTGCGAAATCGGTTCCAAACAGCTGATGATTAGGCAAGGAGGACAATTGGGACAAGTCAACGTCATCTCAGCGCCGAAAAGGTGCAAGGACGCCTTGATGCCTTCAACATCCGGTGTCGTCACCCGTAGGGTGGTCCAACCTTATTGCATCGCCACAGACTTGCCAGACAGCGATGGGCAGCAAATGGGGCCAATCTTGGCAACAGGACATGGCCAGATGTCATTTTTTCAGATGAATCCAGGTTTAACTTATCCTTTGCAGATGGACGTCAACAGATTTATCGACGTAAAGGAGAAAGACTTGCGCCAAACTGTGTCCTTGAACATGATCGTTTTGGAGGGGTGGTGTCATGATCAGACCACAGACCATCAGAGGCTGCAGACCATCCAACAGCTGTTCCTGAGAAATGTGTGCCTTTCAATGCCCTAAAGACTGCGAGCATGTCTTGCAGCGCACGGTGGACACACACGATATTGACTGCAAGTGACCCCTCCTTTGTGTGATGTCGTTGTTGCGTCACTGACTTTGTTGTTGACTGGACATTTTCAGATGAAATTATTCACAGATGTTCACTTAAAACATATCTGCCAGTTAGGTTTATATATGTTGAAATTAGTGTGAGTAAAGAACGTATGAATGTCAAATTGCATTTTCAATGGCTTTCAGTATATAATGATTAGTAAGCCAAGTAAACCTAGAAGAACAGACCCTTGTGTGAGTCAATCTGAGTTTCAGCAGTTGTCCGGTTATAACACGGCCTGACTGTTCACTGTGGGATGAGATCCCGAAGTGATGCACATCTCAGACAATTGGTGAACTCCACGAGCACAGGGGTGGTGCTGACGTATTCAGGGCGAATGGGGATTCCAACCCACTGACATAAGTTTCTGACGTGACAAAGGGAGACAGGAATTGCGGAGCCTGAAACAACGTGCCCCGTGTTGCCTTCGTGGGAGTATGCCCTATAACACTAATTGTGTTAAATAATTAACAGTCAACTGTCTCAACTACTACGAGTGCAGGTTACATACATTTAACATTTTAACTGTTTACTCTTGTAAGTATAATTCCGATTCCCAGAATGACAAGTCAACCAGTTACGTCCTGTCCCAGGATAGAGGAACTGGTTTTCGAATCAATGAAATACAATGTATCCTAAAAACATTTACTCAAAACTTTACTATTTCCTACTTTTGTTCATAGTTGCGATACAACTATTTCCGTATTCATAAAACATAACTCTGCTAAAAGCAGAATGGGTTGTATGATTGTGAATATGTCATAAACATGTGTTTATGAATCACTATAAAGCAGCGATGAAATCATGTATTTGCCAGTAGGTGAGCCTAGTTTCCCCTCGGGTGACAGGGGTCACAAACACAGGCAAAGGCAAGGCGATTGTTCACCCATATTTCTCGTCCATGTATGGCTGAAATAATGCCGATGCGTACGCATACGATACAAGTCAAAACAAACACATTTTCTGAAATCACAAATGCGCCAAATTTTGAAATGTCCTCCAAAATAAAACAACACCCCTGTGGAAGTCGCGGTGGCTGAGCGGGTTAGGCGGTAGACTTTGTGTGCTGGCGACTAGGTGCCTGATTCTGAGGGTGTGGGTTCGAATACCGGATGGGACTCAACCCAACAAAAGTACTAGAATCTGTACGTTACTAAGAAAGTGTAATCCCAATATAATATGTTACAACACCCTGTAGCGGAACGGTGTTGGGCGGTTGTGAAGTACCTGCTAGAAGAGATGACAGGAACATCCCAACACCGGCGTGCAAGGAATGGACGCCAAAGGCCACTCCCGTGAGTTCAACACCGACAATATCAGTCACGATGACCGCCTGCCCCATGTGCCAAGCCCCTGAGGAAATAAATACACCGAGTCAACATTCGAGTCTATGGATACATGTAACGTACACTGGTTTAACAGTTAGCAACACGTCATCAATGTCAGGGGTCGGGGTAGCCTAGTGGTTAAAGTGTTCGCTCGTCCCGCCAAGGTATACAATGCAAAGACAATGTCTGATATTGTGTCTAAATTGCAAAAATCGAGGTTACAGCACTGCACACAGATAACAGGTTCATTAGACTGCGTGTCACATCAATTCGATTGTGGCGACCGTTGCTAAACGTAAGTCACTGCAGAAACAGTTCTTTTCAACCCGTCGTCACATTCATAGTATTGAAGATTGCTGACATACATACGTACACATACATATACATACGTACACATACGTACACACATACATACACATACGTACACACACGTACACATACGTACACATACATACACATACGTACACATACGTACTCACACGTGACACTAGTCAGCATCTCTATGGCTAAATTTTAGGAAGGGGATTGGCTGGTCAACTTGTGTTTTGGTTCAAAATGGGGCATGAAAACCCGACTGTGTTGCACACATGGACAACATCAAAAACATCTTCTTTTGTGACATTGTATAGATGACATCTTTATGCACCTGTGTCTATAAGGATCTGAATACAAGACCTATTGAATGGCATCTCCATAAAGCTGCTATTTTCACACTGTACTTATAAACAATTGCCTTATTCATCCTGTGAAGACTTAGAATATTGGTAACTTTTTGTACTGCAATCTCGTACCTAACTCACCCATAAATACTCCATACACTGCCGCAAACAGGAAAAATGCAACTATAGAGTCAAGCGACGGAACCACGAACACTGTAGCCGCCATCACAGCAATGGTCCCGGCATGCAACCCGGTCCGGTTGACCTTCCGTAGGTCACTGACCCAACCAAACAGGACCAAGGAGAAGATGGTGGCTATACCCATCGCGGGCACCAACATGGCGCTCTGGCTTCTGTCAATGCCTTTCAGATCCACGAGGTCTATGAGGTTGATCAGCGGCACTGTGTAACCAACGTGCACCAACAAGGAGCTAAGGGCAAACACAAAGAACAGCTTCTTCTTGAGGAGCTGTTTAAAGGACTGCATAACACTTTTGGTCTGGATATTGTCTGCAATTAAAAGTAGTGAGTAAATCACTGGTTGCTATGCCTCTGGGTATTGTTCACGTCTGTATATTGGATTTTATAGGTTGACATTTGTCCAAGGCTAGGGAGAGCACTAAGGTGATCGTAAGTCACTAAGGTAACCTTAGTGCAATGTTAAAGAATGGGAGTTAAGGTTAACCTTAGTAAAGGTTGCTTCATGAAAGTAGTCCCTGGAGATCAGTGAGATAGTCAACACTGGGCGCCGCCATTTTGTTTGAAGGAATTGCTAGCGATGTGAGAGGTGGAATCTGATTGGTCAGAAGAAGAGACACATAAAGGATATAACTCACAATAGCAATGGTGTCACTAAAGTCACTATAGGCGATCAGCCTATAAAACCCTCTTACGTGTTTCCCTACTTTGGACATATGTCAAGGAATCCGAGTACGTTTGTAAGATACAATGTTTCTTTTTCAACAAAGTATAAAGTCACAAAGAATTATTGGAACTTACTTTGGGAGACCTTACGCAGATATGGTGGTGGTACAAACAGCAGACCAAAGACTGCTGCATTCAGAGTGATTCCTGCAGTCACCAGGAAGGCGCCCCGCCAGCTGTACGTCTCTATCAGGAGGTTGGTAAGGGGAGGTAACACTAGCATACCCACTCCTTCCCCTAGGGAGGATATACTCATGGCCAGCCCCCGTCTCTTGTCGAAGTATTGAAGTACAATCACAGTGGATGTAGCATACATCAGTGACACTCCAGTTCCTGCAACACAATAAGACACAATGAGAGTGTTTGTCCTGGTGTTTGTCCTGGTGTTTGTCCTGGTGCCGTTTCGTACAAGGCGACTCCAGGGTTCGCAGTCCATTACCAGGATTCCTTTCAAATATCAGAGTTTTCGTATTTATTCCACTACGTTGGCTGATGTTGAGAACCATATCATAGATAGGTTATTCCCTTTCGTTGATGTTGAGAACCATATCATAGATAGGTTATTCCCTTTCGTTGATGTTGAGAACCATATCATAGATAGGTTATTCCCTTTCGTTGATGTTGAGAACCATATCATAGATAGGTTATTCCCTGTCGCTGATGTTGAGAACCATATCATAGAGAGGTTATTCCCTGTCGCTGATGTTGAGAACCATATCATAGAGAGGTTATTCCCTGTCGCTGATGTTGAGAACCATATCATAGAGAGGTTATTCCCTGTCGCTGATGTTGAGAACCATATCATAGAGAGGTTATTCCCTGTCGCTGATGTTGAGAACCATATCATAGATAGGTTATTCCCTTTCGTTGATGTTGAGAACCATATCATAGAGAGGTTATTCCCTTTCATTGATGTTGAGAACCATATCATAGATAGGTTATTCCCTGTCGCTGATGTTGAGAACCATATTAGAGAGGTTATTCCCTGTCGCTGATGTTGAGAACCATATCATAGAGAGGTTATTCCCTGTCGCTGATGTTGAGAACCATATCATAGATAGGTTATTCCCTGTCGCTGATGTTGAGAACCATATCATAGATAGGTTATTCCCTTTCGCTGATGTTGAGAACCATATCATAGATAGGTTATTCCCTGTCGCTGATGTTGAGAACCATATCATAGATAGGTTATTCCCTTTCGTTGATGTTGAGAACCATATCATAGATAGGTTATTCCCTTTCGTTGATGTTGAGAACCATATCATAGATAGGTTATTCCCTTTCGTTGATGTTGAGAACCATATCATAGATAGGTTATTCCCTTTCGTTGATGTTGAGAACCATATCATAGATAGGTTATTCCCTGTCGCTGATGTTGAGAACCATATCATAGATAGGTTATTCCCTTTCGTTGATGTTGAGAACCATATCATAGATAGGTTATTCCCTTTCGTTGATGTTGAGAACCATATCATAGATAGGTTATTCCCTTTCGTTGATGTTGAGAACCATATCATAGATAGGTTATTCCCTTTCGTTGATGTTGAGAACCATATCATAGATAGGTTATTCCCTTTCGTTGATGTTGAGAACCATATCATAGATAGGTTATTCCCTGTCGTTGATGTTGAGAACCATATCATAGATAGGTTATTCCCTGTCGCTGATGTTGAGAACCATATCATAGATAGGTTATTCCCTTTCGCTGATGTTGAGAACCATATCATAGATAGGTTATTCCCTTTCGCTGATGTTGAGAACCATATCATAGATAGGTTATTCCCTGTCGTTGATGTTGAGAACCATATCATAGATAGGTTATTCCCTTTCGTTGATGTTGAGAACCATATCATAGATAGGTTATTCCCTTTCGTTGATGTTGAGAACCATATCATAGATAGGTTATTCCCTGTCGCTGATGTTGAGAACCATATCATAGATAGGTTATTCCCTGTCGCTGATGTTGAGAACCATATCATAGATAGGTTATTCCCTGTCGCTGATGTTGAGAACCATATCATAGATAGGTTATTCCCTGTCGCTGATGTTGAGAACCATATCATAGATAGGTTATTCCCTGTCGTTGATGTTGAGAACCATATCATAGATAGGTTATTCCCCTTCGTTGATGTTGAGAACCATATCATAGATAGGTTATTCCCTTTCGTTGATGTTGAGAACCATATCATAGAGAGGTTATTCCCTGTCGAGAACCATATCATAGATAGGTTTGTCGAATGTTGAGAACCATATCATAGATAGGTTATTCCCTGTCGCTGATGTTGAGAACCATATCATAGATAGGTTATTCCCTGTCGCTGATGTTGAGAACCATATCATAGAGAGGTTATTCCCTGTCGCTGATGTTGAGAACCATATCATAGATAGGTTATTCCCTGTCGCTGATGTTGAGAACCATATCATAGAGAGGTTATTCCCTGTCGCTGATGTTGAGAACCATATCATAGATCGCTGAGGTTATTCCCTTTCGTTGATGTTGAGAACCATATCATAGAGAGGTTATTCCCCGTCATTGATGTTGAGAACCATATCATAGATAGGTTATTCCCTTTCGTTGATGTTGAGAACCATATCATAGATAGGTTATTCCTCGTCGTTGATGTTGAGAACCATATCAGGTTATTCCCTGTCGCTGATGTTGAGAACCATATCATAGATAGGTTATTCCCTGTCGCTGATGTTGAGAACCATATCATAGATAGGTTATTCCCTGTCGCTGATGTTGAGAACCATATCATAGATAGGTTATTCCCTGTCGCTGATGTTGAGAACCATATCATAGAGAGGTTATTCCTGTTCGTTGATGTTGAGAACCATATCATAGATAGGTTATTCCCTTTGATAAACCATATTGATGTTGTCGTTGATGTTGAGAACCATATCAGGTTATCTGATGTTGAGAACCATATGAGAGGTTATTCCTGTCGCTGATGTTGAGAACCATATCATAGATAGGTTATTCCCTGTCGCTGATGTTGAGAACCATATCATAGATAGGTTATTCCCTTTCGCTGATGTTGAGAACCATATCATAGAGAGGTTATTCCCTGTCGCTGATGTTGAGAACCATATCATAGAGAGGGTTATTCCTGTCGTTGATGTTGAGAACCATATCATAGATAGGTTATTCCCTGTCGTTGATGTTGAGAACCATATCATAGATAGGTTATTCCCTTTCGCTGATGTTGAGAACCATATCATAGAGGTTATTCCCTGTGGCTGATGTTGAGAACCATATCATAGAGAGGTTATTCCCTGTCGCTGATGTTGAGAACCATATCATAGATAGGTTATTCCCTGTCGTTGATGTTGAGAACCATATCATAGATAGGTTATTCCCTTTCGTTGATGTTGAGAACGTTGATGTTGAGAACCATATCATAGATAGGTTATTCCCTTTCGTTGATGTTGAGAACCATATCATAGATAGGTTATTCCCTTTCGTTGATGTTGAGAACCATATCATAGATAGGTTATTCCCTTTCGCTGATGTTGAGAACCATATCATAGATAGGTTATTCCCTGTCGCTGATGTTGAGAACCATATCATAGATAGGTTATTCCCTGTCGCTGATGTTGAGAACCATATCATAGAGAGGTTATTCCCTGTCGCTGATGTTGAGAACCATATCATAGATAGGTTATTCCCTGTCGCTGATGTTGAGAACCATATCATAGAGAGGTTATTCCCTGTCGTTGATGTTCGTTGATGTTGAGAACCATATCATAGATATCATAGGTTATTCCCTTTCGCTGATGTTGAGAACCATATCATAGATAGGTTATTCCCTGTCGCTGATGTTGAGAACCATATCATAGATAGGTTATTCCCTGTCGCTGATGTTGAGAACCATATCATAGAGAGGTTATTCCCTCTTCGCTGATGTTGAGAACCATATCATAGATAGGTTATTCCCTGTCGCTGATGTTGAGAGAACCATATCATAGAGAGGTTATTCCCTTTCGCTGATGTTGAGAACCATATCATAGAGAGGTTATTCCCTGTCGCTGATGTTGAGAACCATATCATAGATAGGTTATTCCCTGTCGCTGATGTTGAGAACCATATCATAGAGAGGTTATTCCCTGTCGCTGATGTTGAGAACCATATCATAGAGAGGTTATTCCCTGTCGCTGATGTTGAGAACCATATCATAGAGGTTATTCCCTGTCGTTGATGTTGAGAACCATATCATAGATAGAGGTTATTCCCGTCGCTGATGTTGAGAACCATATCATAGAGAGGTTATTCCCTGTCGCTGATGTTGAGAACCATATCATAGAGAGGTTATTCGCTGATGTTGAGAACCTGTCGCTGATGTTGAGAACCATATCATAGAGAGGTTATTCCTGTCGCTGATGTTGAGAACCATATCATAGATAGGTTATTCCCTTTCGTTGATGTTGAGAACCATATCATAGAGAGGTTATTCCCTGTCGCTGATGTTGAGAACCATATCATAGATAGGTTATTCCCTGTCGCTGATGTTGAGAACCATATCATAGATAGGTTATTCCCTGTCGCTGATGTTGAGAACCATATCATAGAGAGGTTATTCCCTCGTCGTTGATGTTGAGAACCATATCATAGAGAGGTAGAGGTTATCCCTGTCGCTGATGTTGAGAACCATATCATAGATAGGTTATTCCCTGTCGCTGATGTTGAGAACCATATCATAGAGAGGTTATTCCCTGTCGCTGATGTTGAGAACCATATCATAGATAGGTTATTCCCTGTCGTTGATGTTGAGAACCATATCATAGATAGGTTATTCCCTTTCGCTGATGTTGAGAACCATATCATAGAGAGGTTATTCCTTTCGTTGATGTTGAGAACCATATCATAGATAGGTTATTCCCTGTCGCTGATGTTGAGAACCATATCATAGATAGGTTATTCCCTGTCGCTGATGTTGAGAACCATATCATAGATAGGTTATTCCCTGTCGCTGATGTTGAGAACCATATCATAGAGGTTATTCCCTGTGGCTGATGTTGAGAACCATATCATAGATAGGTTATTCCCATAGATAGGTCGCTGATGTTGAGAACCATATCATAGAGAGGTTATTCCCTGTCGCTGATGTTGAGAACCATATCATAGATAGGTTATTCCCTGTCGCTGATGTTGAGAACCATATCATAGAGTTAGGTTATTCCCTGTCGCTGATGTTGAGAACCATATCATAGAGAGGTTATTCCCTGTCGCTGATGTTGAGAACCATATCATAGATAGGTTATTCCCTGTCGCTGATGTTGAGAACCATATCATAGAGAGGTTATTCCCTGTCGCTGATGTTGAGAACCATATC